TCTCTCTCTCTCTCCCTTCCTCTGGCTTATTTCCCCTCCCCATACACACACCTTTCATCAAGCCGCCGTCTCTGATTACCTGCTGGCCCCTTGTGTAGGCACTGAGTCGATCCTGTGCGCCATCAAGGCCTATCGTGATCGTGCCCGCAAGCTTAATCCTTCCATCACTGAACCCGAAATTGCAAGTGTCGTGTCCTAGAGCCCGTTGCCCTGCGTCTTTCTCCTTCATCAGCCCGCCCGTGCTCATTACGCTATGGCGGGCCGTTGTTTAGGTGGCGCCCATCACCGTGCACCCCGCTTTCAACAAGGCTGCCGCATACTTCAACCTGAAGATGGTTTTGGTTCCCGTTGATGAGAATGGTCAAGCCCAGGTGGAGGCTGTAAAGAAGGCCATCACTCGCAACACCGTTCTCTTGGTCATGTCAGCTCCGCAGTACCCCCATGGCGTGGTGGACCCCGTGGAGGCCGTGGCTGCCATTGCCCTGCGCAAAGGACTGCCCCTGCACGTGGACGCCTGCTTTGGCGGTTTCATGCTGCCTTGGGTTGAGAAGCTGGGCTACCCTGTCCCCACCTGGGACTTCCGCGTGAATGGCGTCACCTCCATCTCTGCTGACATCCACAAGTATGGATGGGGAGCCAAGGGTGCCAGTGTCCTCCTGTTCCGCAATGCTGAGCTGCGCTCCCATCTCTTCTACGCCTATGCGGACTGGCCTGGAGGTCTCTTCGTCTCTCCTTCCCTCGTCGGCACGCGCCCGGGTGGATACATTGCCGCCTCCTGGGCAACCCTCAAGTTCCTGGGACAGGAAGGCTACATGGCCAAGGCCAAGGCTGTCATGGAGACCACTGAAGCCATCAAGCGCGCTGTCGGCGAAATCGAGGGCATCAAGATCCTGGGCACCCCGCACATGACCGGCATCTCCATCGTGAGCGCCAGTCCCCAGGTTAGACTGGCGCGCGAGCTCCCGCTCGGCAGATCATGCGCCTTCATGTGTCGTCCAGGGTACATTGATCTTTGTTCCTGTCCTAACTTGACGTGCTCTGCTTCTTCAGATCAATGTCCTGATCCTGGGCGACATGATGGAGAAGCGTGGCTGGAAGCTGGAGATGCAGCAGAATCCCTCATCTCTTCATCTTTCCATCATGCCTCACCACGTTGCTCGCGTTCAAGATCTCGTCGCCGATTTGCGTGAGGTCAGCAGCACTCGTTGTGCCCCTCTTACTTTGGTGTCAGAAAGCTTGAAAGCTTCATTCTCGTGCTCACTCTCCTTTCTCCATGTTTATCCGCAAAAACCCTCGACAGTGCACAAAGTTGGCCATGGGCAAGAAGGCGGACGACGAAGGCATGGCAGCCATGTACGGCATGACGGCCAACATTCCAGACAGCTCCATCGTGTCCGACTTTTTGGCCAAGCTCATGAGCGACGTCTACACGTGCCGCACTTGAGTCCCAACCCTCGCATGAGCGAGTTTTTTACTGTGAAACGAATTCGATGTACCATCCGCTTGATGTCAATCCGATTCTGTCAACAGACGTGAAGCGTCGCAACAAAGCCCAGATAGCTTCGAATTTGGGACGCATGTCTGGCAAGGCGTTAAAAGCTGCTCATGGCAACCCGTAATGCCACCTTGCTGCGTCCACCTTGCTCAGATTAGAGGAAGAAAGGAAAGGAAAGATAAAAAAAAATCTGAAAAGCTCAGTGTGATTTTTTTGAGAAGTTTTCGACGAAAAACACACACACACACACACACACACACACACACACACACACACACACACACACACACACACACAACACAACACAACAACACGCAGTGCAAACGGCATCCGGAAGATTTCTACGCCGCTTTAGGCAGACGCATTGAGCAGCTGTTGTTGAGAGACCCATTGGGCATTGCCATGGCGCTTCAAACTGATACGGATCGTCTTTTGGACGCAGTGGAAGCACGCGTCGATGAGCTCGCCTCTCGGCTGGGCCACATTCAGATTGTGCGGCCTCCATTCCTCTCCGATCCTTGCTCCGCACACAAATTCTCCCTCGCACATGCACACAGCTGGTTGAAGGAGCGGCAATCCCTTACACGCTGCTTGCATGTGTACCTGGCAGAATTCATCCCAAACGCTGGCCACCTCCTTTGCCAAGCTCAAGGGCTTGGTCGATCAATTTGAGACGCTGAACACCGTTTTCACCCACTGTACGTAAAACTCTCAGCGCTGAACCACCTATGAACTGAACACTCACGGCACTCTTTGTACCTACAGACGCGGATATTGAAAAGGCCATTCCCCGAGCTGGCGCTGAATCCCTGGTCGTCACGGAGCTGCATCGTGCAGTTACGCTGATTGCTGGTATGCACACTTGACAGCGCTCGGTGCCAGTACACACCGTGACGCATATTTAGGCCTTGGCTCAAGACCAGCATGATACACAGTTCTGATGCACCCGGCCTGACGTTTCTGTTCTGACGTGTGCCTTTGTAGACGAAGACCGGATACGCGAGACTGCCAAAAATCTCGAGCTGTTGGAAAATAGTCGCGAGTTTATCAACTCTGATGCCCTGCAAGGTTTGGCCATTTGTCATGCCTCGGGTGGCATGGTCGGTCCTGACCTAATGTTGTACCCTGCCCCGTCGCTCACTGCTCAACCTTGCATGATAGAAACCCCAAACCTCACACTCAAGCTCAAGCCGCTCGAAACCGTTCACCTGTCTCAGCTTGTCAGTTGCGTGATCCTTGCCGCACCCCAGTCGGGTTTTGCATGACCAGGCCCTCTTTTCGTTCTTGTGCTATGACCAAAGCGTGATCAACGCCTCATCTAATGATCATCTCCGCAACCTTGTAGGCCATGTGTAAGGATCAACAGACTCGTCTCAATGCCCTCCTGGACAATTACAACCGCCTGGTGGGTTCCGCCTGCCCCCAAGTCGGCCAAAGCGTTCCCTTGCCCGTTGCGGAGTAGGTAACCTAATCATCGATAGCTACTCACGTGCCAACCTGTGCTTTTTCTCCGATGTGCCGATTTGAACTGACTTAGGTGACAATTTTGTCGCAACAATTTGTACAGTGGGACGACATGCTCGCCGCTGCTGAGGCCCGAGTGGGTCTGTCGTCTTGATGTTCCCCGCTACAAGGCCCCGAGCGAGCGATCTGGGTTGATCCTATGGGTTCATGTGTGTTGATGAAAAGTTGTGTGTGTGCGTGTGTGAATGTGTGTGGCAACGTTTATAAACCGTTTTTCTGTTTCCAAAAGAGAGAAATCAACTGCCAAGTTTGCAAGTGATTTGTTGTGAGGAGCTAGTAGGCGAATCGATGTCAGCGGCTGTAATTTGTACGCCACCGTCAGAGAACAGCAAGAAATGCCAGCGTGGGGGCGGGCACAAAGATACCAAAAACTCAAGTGAAAAGACTGGTTCATCAAAGGCTACAACTGATGTGGGCTTGCATTCGGCTTATCGAATAAACTCTGGACACGAGCGGAACAAGGGAGCGAAAAACGTGCAAAAAAAAAAAAAAAAAACTGCCTCGTCGCTATGACACCCATCAGGATGGTGCAGCAAAATTGATGGCCGCCATGGCTTCGCGTAGGGAATCAAACTTTTGCTGTTCTTTCTTCCATCGCTCGAGGGCAACCATTATCTTTTTGCGTGGTCCAAAAAGGGCGAGACCAATGCTCTTTAAATCAGCATCTGTCATAGTCACCAACGTCGCAAAATCAATCTCCTACAACGCAAGTTCATGAAGGACCGGACTGTGCGTGAGATACATCATATTAAACAAGCGAGGCGCTCAGGGTGCGGTCCGCGATTACCTCGGAATGAAACAGCGGAATGTACTTTTCTAGCTTCAGACACTGCCAACGAGCATGTGGGGGTGAGGCGGCTCTCGCTCACATCCACCACACAACCACGGGAATGGATCAAAAGGGAGAAGAAAAGATTGGGACGGGGAGGGCGATTGGCAAAGACGGGCACCAGAAAGTACCTTGAGAAAGGTCTCGATATCATCCCCGGCATCCATCAAACGACTCCTGAGAGATGCGCGCAGTGGTCAGCTCCCCATGAACAAGAAATTCTAGCCAGGAGCAAGCACAATGGCCTCTCTGGTCGCAAGGGACAGTGCACCAACGTACTCGGTATCAGACGTGACGGGCATGGGCGACAAGCTTGGAGGACGCGGTGACGGGCTTTGGCTGGCATAGGTGACAAGGTCCAGGCCTACGAGACATGGCAGTAAGTGCAAGCAAGACTGGTAAGCAGCCGCTTGTGCCACCAAAGAATCAGCATGAGCCAGTTAAGACTGACCTGCTTCAGCACGCAACGGCGAAGTGTTGTTACGTTGCTCGTGTTTGTTGAGCAAATCAATGATGATTGCACTGTACATGAAAGGGCGTGATCGATGAGAAGGGGACGGGCGCTCCAGGGCATCGAGTGATATCTTGAAAGCAAAATGGGTTGAACCTCTGCCCAGACATACCTGGGCTGTGCCATGCGTTCGGCCAGCATGCGAGGTGTCTGACCCTGGCTATCACACTGTTTACTATTCGCGCCAAATCGCAGTAGAACCTGGTAACGAAGAAGCACAGCGACGCGGTCAGGATTCAACTCCACACAGAGGCGCGGGCAGCGGCTTTCAAGAAACAAAAGGTGAAAAACGCGCTGCACCTCGACACAGCTTTCATAGGCGTTGGCCACGGCAAGAAGCAAGGGTGTGACGCCGGTCTTATCCACGCAATCAACGGGTGATCCGGCCTTGAGCAACATTTTGATAACGGTCTGCCATGCCAATGCAAGTTGTCAATGAGGTTTGGCGGGTGCGCCCGGTACGCCGGCACCCCATACAGTTTGGAGAGGACACACACATGTTCACCGTGGAGGGTGGCATAGTGGATGGCTTGTCGACCCAGAACGTCTTGCTTTTGCGTGCTTGCTCGTTTCTGTACGACAAGGGCAGAACGCAGGCAACAATGACGCGTGTGAGAATACTCCTTCAGACCAAGAGGATCGCAGAGCAATGATACCTTGAGCAGACGGTGGACGATGCGCTCGTAACCTCCGCCAGCTGCATGCATCAGAGGAGTCGTCTTGTCACTCGCTTCCACATCAACGTGAGCCTTGGCTTCGTCTGGCAGAAAGGGTCAACGACCGAGATGATGGGCAGGTGATGAGCCGATGAAATGACACACGCAAGACAAGCAATCGGAGTGGGTGTTTGGCGGTGAAGCGCCCAGGCTTTGGGCATACCAAGTAAAAAGGCCACTGTATGTTCGTAGCCCGTGCTGCAGGCGTAGTGCAACGGGGCCCACCCACTGCGATTGAGAGCATCAAGGCGGCGCTGATTCCGTCGTAGACATCGGCGCACTACCTCCGTGTCGCCCAGCGAGGAAGCCTGCAGATTCTCCCCGATAATGGCAAACAGAATTATCCAAGAGGGTGAGCTCAAGGGCCATGCCATCTGAGATGACGGGTGAAGGAACGAACCGTGTAAATATCTAGTTCCACGGCATGTTCGAGTTCGGGTCCCAGAATGAGTTCTATCTGTCCAAAACTCGATAAGGACAGGCTATCGTTCAAATTTAGGGTCGCCATTCAGCCATATCTAGAATCAAAGCAAGGGGCCGACAGGGAGTGAGCGGCATCGTTGGCACAACTCTTCATTAATTATCGACATAGTGAGTGTTGGGGCATGATCGACGATGGCATATCGGCCTTGCCCGTCTGACCTTGCTGGCGCGGTGAGGAGAGCACCGTGCCGTGATTCTCCCGCCTTTTGATGAACAGCAATCCAGGTGTTGACCCCACCCCAATCACAAGGAGTAAAATAGGTAATTGGATCGTAAAGTGTGCGACATCTGCAGATCTGGGTCTCTTGACGACCTGATCTCTCGGGGAAACAAGTCAAAGAGTACGACAAATTGAGTCTAGCCAGCACGATGAAGGATGAGAGGGGACCCGGCATCTGGTCTGATCCAGGGAGACAAGAGCCCACCGCACGTTTAAGCCACAAGAAATCAAAAAGAGCAGGGAGTCAAGGCCACGAGCCCAGCGCAAGAGCCAAGCACACGACCCCGCTTTTCTCCGTACCTTGAAGGCAGACAACCCAAGGTTGCACCACTCCAGCTGTATCTGAGCACACACACGCAGAGATTCAAACGCCAACGGCATACGAGCTCGGCGCTTTGTAAGGCCTCTGTCGTGCTCTGTGAGTGTGTACGACGGTGTCACCAAACAAGAGAGAGAGCCAGAGAGAGAGAGTGTGTGTGTGACTGAAACGAAGTGTGCTCCTTGGTGTGTGTGTGTGTGTGTGTGTGTGCTCCTTCTTCTTCTCTCTCACGTTTCTATGACATGTTTTGCTGACAATTATATCTGACATCAAATGTGATGGGCGTGGTCAAGGAGGCGCCTTTAAAGTGTGGTCTTTTTATGGAGTAAATGTCGCGCCCGAAGATATTCACTAGAAGATCTCCATATGTGCCCAAGGACTTATTGCACTTAAAAAGGAGGTTATTGCAGAAGGATAACCCTACCAGCCTAGTCCTGCCACCGTTTGTTCACACTTATGGACAGAAATCAATTTTCTTGACACTCACACACACACACACACACATACACAAGCCCGGCACGATCCGTGGTCCTTGCTGACGCGCTGCAGGCATGGGTCCGCCATGGTTTCGTGGTCGGGATCGCCGTCAACTGGTTTTGGTTTGGATATGGATGGTCATGTGGTCTCCACTCAGCGTCGGGAGCTTCGATCTGCAGGAATATAACGATTGCGACCAGGAGGAAGCTTTTCGCAACGTTTCCTTCTACTGCCATCGCGCCAAAATTGACTGCGGCGATGTCTACACAGAGGAAGACACGTGCAAGCAGCGTGGCTGTATTTGGCAGCCTGGTCAGGAAAACAGCTGGTATCCTTGGTGTTACCACCCTTCACCCAGCCCATGTGGCCGCGCCTTCCCGCTTCATCCGGACACGGGCCACCTTTACATGCTCACGGGTGATGCAGGGGACCTGGCCGCGAGTGCCCTCAACTTGACTTGCTTTGACGTACCGTACAAAGCCCACCCTGCTGCACTTGGGTTCGTCTCCTACCTGATCGGCGTTTGACCCACCCAGCAACTGTCAGAGCAATAATGCTGGTGCTCAAGCCTGGGGCTTCGCTTACCCTACTACTCTGCGCTTCTGCCCTCCCCTAGGACCAAGAATGAAGCCTTGTTTGTCGGTGTCAATATTGTTCACCGCCTCGAGTTGGCTTTGGAAGAAGAACAGAGCACTCTGCGGCCGCACGTTGGTGGAGAAGACGCTGCAATTGATGTCTGTCTTTTGCACTCAATCTCGACCCGTCGCTAAACACCCATCGCGCTGTGACATGCTCATCTACTTCAATTTTCTCTCTGCTCCGATGGAATGGCATCACGAGGCCGCTCACTACCCTGATCTCGCCTCTCTCTTTGCGCCCACCTAGCTGACATGGAATACCGCTCCAGTCCCAGATCTTGCCATTCCTGCCAATTGGATCCGCAACTCATCCTTGGCAAGATGTCTGGGCGTGACGCAGGACGGCACATTGGAAACTCAAAGCTGCGCCGACACGCAGCCACGACTGTTTGAGCTCGAGCCGTTCACCACATCACCAGGCAAGTTGTTTTGGCTTTGCATGCACCCACCATTTGAACACTCCAGATTCGCCCTGCCACGCTGATCTCTGCTGCCCGGTTTGGTCGTCATCAACACAGGCCCGTGTGCACCCAATGCCACCCTGACCGACACGAGTGAATGCCGCGCGAACCTTTGTGCGCCATGTGCACATGACAACTGCTCCTTTGATGTCACCAATTACTGTGAAGCTACTTGCGCCTGTCTCGCGACCAGATCCATTGCTAGCAGCACCGCCATCACCCAAACATCAACCGAACCTGCCACCACCACCACCACCACCACCACTGCAGCTCAAACTTCTTCGTTATTGAACCCGACGCACCCAGGCCAAGTGTTGACCACCCGACCCCTGACCAGCACTGCCACACCACAATCGTACACCTGGCAAGGCAGTACAAGCTTAGCCCTTTCGAGTACGGTGCCAAGTGGGTCTCAAGGACAGGGCGCATCCTCCACTCGCACCGCTATCCTCAGCGGCGCTTTGGGTGGCACTGCTGTTCTTGTGGCTCTCTTGGTGCTAATATTGTGGCGACACCAATGGTGTGGTACCCGATCACAACTGTCCCCCGTACCCCCGGCTGCCCCATATAAAACCAATGTTTTGTTTGAGGACCATCCAACCGAGAGCATGAGCACCGACACATACGATCACTTTGTTCTGCACACTCGGGTCGATCAGCCCGTAGGAACGTCGCTTCCACCCCAACCCAGCTTTTACAACCACCTCGCGCCATCAAAACCAATGTCCATCTACTCGACTCTGGAATCTGGCACCGTGTCCCCACAGCTAAGCACTCCTGGCGTATATGGATTTCCTACATCCCCGCCATCTGGTGTCGAGGCCTGGTCCACATCAGGCCACAGATACGACTACCCCCACACTCAGGTACGAGACGAGCCACACACAGGCTACGACTACCCCAACACTCAGGCACGAGACGAGCCACACACAGGCTACGACTACCCCAACGCTCAGGAACGAGACGAGCCACACACAGGCTACGACTACCCCAACTCTCAGGAACGAGACGAGTCAAAAGCTAGCATACAAAGACAGTATGACGTACCTTCTGCGCCAAAGGTTTTGACATTGCGAACAAGCAACGCAAGCAGCACGACTTGAGTGACAGCAGCACGCGAACTATCCTTTGTAATTGCCAAACATGGCCCAAGCCTGGAAAAACTGGCAGATACACAAGCTCCCTTGAGGCTGATGACTTTTATTCATTCTTATGATCATCATTATTATTACATAGGATTCATCCGCATACATGGCCATACCACAATCGACAAGCAAATTGAAATCGCTGATTCACATGCCCCCACCCACCCCCCCCCCCCAAAAAAAAAAAAATCTGATTGTAAATTGGAAAGAAAGATCGATCGCGACGGGCTAAAGCAATAATGAGAAAACGCAGCGGCTCCGCCGTCCCCATGGAAAAGCAACAAAATCTCCACCTCAGCTTGTTAGCTTCACATCACAGCTACGACCTAGACAAGCCTCGAGGCTTCCCTTGTGCTTCATGTGATAGTTGATCAAATCCGGAATTGAATCAAACTCTGGTCCATAAAAGCGATAGCGGCCGCTGTAAAGCCACAGTTGACAAAAGACCCCCAAGCCACGAGTCACGGAAAAGCATGAGTTTGGCGAGGCAGTGAGCAGCTCGGTCAGAAGCTCAACGCCTGGCTTTACCCAACATTGCAAAGCTGCTTGGCAATTGCAAACACCAAACATTCGTGCATTTCTTGAAGGCGTGATCGTGCGTACCTGTCTAACCGCTGAATGCGGTAATGGCGAACTTTGGCCTGAACAATCACGTCGAGTGTAAAGTCGTTGGGACTGCTGCTAGACTGGCGAACCAAGAACGAGCCCTCCAGCTCTACAAAAATGGCAAGCAAGCCATTGTGTGCGTCAAGTCACGTCGCAAAGATGCCGACAACAAGTGACCCTACGACGTACCGGCAATGTTGCCCTGTGATAACAGCAGGCGCTCGGCAGCAATTTTGGAGATGCTGCCATGAAAATAAGGCATGGAGTCTGCAGCCACAGCCATGATGCATGATGCAATGAGAGGACGGCGAGGTCACTTGACTCAATCTTGCTCGCGAACTTCCACTAGACGCCCCCCATACCTGAGCCAGAAATCAGCTCCTCATCATCGTCAGGCAAGGCTGGCAAACGCTTCGTTTGCACGTAGGTGGTATGATCAGTCAGCTGTGAATAAGGCGCCGCCCCATCCTCAGCCGGCTAAAGATAAAAAAAATTGACCAATGTCCCAATAGACAAACGGAGGGGCGTGAGTTATGTTCTCCCTGCAGGTGTGTGCACCATGAAACCGTCCATCCGAACAAACGCGACGACAAACCGGCTGCACGTTGATGTCGCTAAAGGTCAGTTTTTTGTATGGACTGGCTTCGACGCTGTCCGGGTCCTCTTGCGCTACGCGGAACATACGGCCGAGATCGCGAACCTGTCGCTCTTCCTCGGCGTGCGTAATTTGCAGGTGCCCGGCATGCAGGTCTGCAATGGTCTCATACAGTTTTCTGGGTAGAAAAAACCACCAGAGTTGACAGTCGTCAACTAACCGCAGGATGGGCGCTTTTATTGCAGCAAGGGTCCGATGGCACATACTTGAAGGAAGGACGCTCATCAGGGTTCTCATACCAACACGTGCGCATCATTGCGTAAACATTGTCAGGACAGTCATCCGGGATTGGCAGTCGCAGGCCGTTCATCAACTATCCCAGAAACGATCAAATAATGATGAGGGCCGAGGCCCATCCAGCACTGATTTGCGATCACTGGCCCAGAAGTACCATGCCACACAGACAAAACGACCCAATAGTTTTCACATGTTATGCGCACCTGCAGCGGCAAAACATCGTTGCTCACGCCCTTGTACGGCATGTCACCGTAGGTGAAGATCTCGTGACAAACCACACCAAAAGACCTGAACGAATTTTCAAGCAAAATTGAGGAGGAAGTGGGGGGGCGGGATGCGTTCACACAGTGCTGGTTGACAGTGCTTACCAGACATCAGTTTTGAGGGTGAACTTGCGAGTGTCCAATGATTCAATGGCCATCCAGCGCAAAGGCAGGGCATCATCCTTGTCGACAAAGTAATAGTCCTCGTCCTCGAGGATCTGACGTGTCATGCCAAAGTCGCCAATCTTGATGATGGCGTTACTGTCCACAAGGCAGTTGCGAGCAGCCAAGTCCTGTGTGGCACGAGGTCGTTGCGTCATGATTAACCAATCAATCCCTGTCTGAATCAATGCTGTTTCATCCAATTTGCAATCAGGTTGATCAAAATGACTTACGCGGTGGATAAACTGTTTGGTGGCCAAGTAGTGCATTCCGGCGGCAATGTTGCCCATCATGCGCAGCCGTTCTTCCACATTGAGAACAAACTGCTCCTGCTTCAACTTGCGCAGCAAGCTACGCAAGTCGCCGAGCTCGCAGAGCTCTGTCACGATGCACCAGGGCTTTTCCGAAGTCACAACACCAATCAGCCGCAGAACTACCACGGAAGGAAAGAACATGAGGACAGCGCGAACCATCTGGCTATCAGTACAGGCGCGAGAGGTTGAGGAGCAATTGTGTGTGCCTTGTTTTCGGGGCCATGAGCGCAAGCGACAACAAAGCATGCAAAGCGCCGCTGTGTGTTGAGCTAACCATTGTCGTGCTTGAATTCCATCATGATCTGAGCTTCAAGTAGAAAGTAGCGCGGTGCTTTTTCATCATCATCCTCTGACTTGAGCGTTTTGATGGCCACATCCAGTTGCTTGCCACTGATCTCTGTGTAGCGACCTCTAAAAAAATCACCAAAATTGCCCTGTTGCATCCAACAGCCACCGTAAAGCAAAGGTTAGGAAAAGAACGCAGGAAACGTAGCAATAATACACCAAAGGGGTGGCGCATCTGCTGGAGAGGGGCAGAATGACATACATGCCCCAGTTGCTCGAGTTGTTGAATACGGTTCACGGCGAGTTGCACCGACTTGAGATGGCTCTGGATGTCTGACACGACCACAGATACAGAGGTCATGTTCAGCTTGTTCTGGTCCACGATGGAGCCATCTGGGGCGCGCATGGTCAATTGGCCGTCATCGCCCACGGTGATCAGTGAATAACCCTTCGGCACGCGTTTTGGCCCGGGGGCGCTAGCACTTGTGGGTGAGCCCTGAGCGTCCGGTTTGCGCATGACGCGCGGCTGCAGATAGGCATTGGCGGCCGCACTGTTGTTCACTTGCGACGAGCGGGCAGGTATGGCGGGCGCATTCTGATACTCTGAGGTTGCAGCCATGGGGTCTGACACAACCGATGATGGCGTGGCGGGCGCAGCACGACGGGCCGGCACGGCCGGGGCTGCAGCTGCATTGGGTCCGCTCGCCATACCAGCCAGCATAGGATCAGCCACGGCACGTGGGGCGAGCATGGGGTCGGCAGGTGCGACACGCGGTGGAACCGCCGGCATGTCGTGGCGCGTCGGGGGTCGAGGTGGAGGCACCGAATCGGCAGTGACTGGGTTTGCTGGCGAAGAAGTGGGCTGAGCATGTGGATGTGAGTGTGCTGGTCGAGGCGGGGGGGTTGAGTCGACCGTATTCGAGGCAGGCTTGGCCGCGGCAGGTGGGCTGGCCGTGGCAGGTGGGCTGGCCGTGGCAGGTGGGCTGGCTGGCCCAGCCATGAGCATGCTATCGGGGCCCGTCCCAAACATGCCGGTACCGCTATCACCAAGTCAGGCAGAGCCACAAGTGAAGGTGGAAAGCTTGTGGCAAACAAGACGATCAAAAGAGTCGCATGACCAAACAAGAAGGGCATCCTTGTGAGTGTGGAGTTGAGGCGATACCTGCTAGGTTTTTGACGCAGGGTGGTCTTCTTTTCATCTGCAGCCACCAGACCACTTTGCGGCCGCTCGCGCACCCTGGAATGGAGTTGCAGGCAAGTGAACACCACGCGAGATTTCACTCCGGTTGTTTTGCGCGTAAACCAGGACATGAACATACGTAGGCTGTGCGGTAAGGGATGGCGCATGACTGCTCAGCGGCATATTCATCCAACGGCATGGGGCAAGCACACGAACATAAGGGTGAGTCTGAGCAAACTTCTCGCGCTCGGTGCGGTTTGGTCGCATTGCATTAACGAGATCTGAAAAGAGAAGAGAAACACAGCCATGAGGTGCTTACACTGGATTGGGAAACATCTCCGTGGTGCTGTCGTGCAGATGAGCATCCTCGTTTTCTGCAATATGTACATCGCAGCAGAACGACGTGAATTCGCAGGCCGCCGATTGCTCAAGGTCCACTGATACGGAAAGGACGCACTTTTGCCCGCACAGAGCATGACTAAAACCACCAGACCGCAGAGAAGCACCACGGCAAGAATGGGTTGTGTAGGAGTTGTGCCCCAACCCTCGTGGTCTGTACCGGTCCCTAGAGATAGGGACAGGGCGTAAAAGAGAGAGAGGGAGAGAGAGAGAAGCAGAGAGTGTGTGAGAGAGAGAACACAACAGAGAAGAGAGTGAGGAGAAGCAAGAGTGTCGCAAGACAGTCAAGGTGAGCAAGCAGCAAAGAACAGTCAGCAACCAACCATGCTCGGGCGCCAAAGGGTTGCGCGTTGGCTGGCCAAGGACGCTGAGGGGCAGGCAGACGGCAATCAGCAGCAAGGCCGTGACCACACCATGTCGAGCGGATGATGATGCCATGATGCAGAGGCCTGTGCAAGAGCAAGGCTTGGCGCAATCCGATCCGCCTTGAGCTGCACGCGGTGCTTTGACGCAAGCGGGTCAGGGCCAATGGCGAGGATTAAAAGGGGCGGGCAGTCGCCCTGTGGTGCCGTGCCAGATGACGGGCTACAGCCCACCGGCTTGAAAGAACGCCGCTCGCTGTAGGCAAAAGAGAAAAGAAAAACAGTCCGAGCATTCATGCCATGCATAAAGTAAGACCAGGAACGGGAATGGCCGTGCTTCGTGACCCGGTACGTCTGGGCACTCCTGGCATGAGGAGCACTTGAGCCAAGAAAGAGCACGGGGCGGTGATGAAAGACGTACCGCCGCGAGGTGGCTGCTGGCGGGTCGAAGCAGATGAGTTTAAGCGACTGTCCAACCTACAAAGGCAATGGAACGGAGCAGAGATTCGCACAGGGAGCAATTGTGACCATGAGCCGGCGCCATTAGATCCTGAGCCTGGAGTAACCTGGCTTCGACCCCTCCCCTTCGACACGAGAGCACTGTCGCCAACAAAAAAGAGGCAACCCCAACGTGCAAAGGACCATGTGACCAGGAAAGAAAGCCATTGGCGAGACCAGGCTGGCAGCGTGCGCATTCGCACAGACAGACAGCAGACCAAAGACGACCCGAGCCAACCAGCCGACCGAGTCACACACACACGAACGCACACACACACACGCACACATCAGCACAAGTCACCAGCTCACCTGGACAAGAGCTCGCAAGTTTATGCTCTCTCTCTCTCTCTCTCTCAATTCATCTCTCTCTCTCTCTCTCTCTCTCTCTCTCTCAATTCATCTCTCTTTAGTGTACAGCTCATATCGGCATTGACAGGCATCCGCCTTCTTTTGTCTCTCACTCACTTTTGTAACGTCACGTTTTACACGTTGGTGTTGGTGGTGAGTGACCCCAAAAGCTTGAGGGCACACACACACAACACATACAGACATACTCAAAAGGGGGCGTTACACGTAACATCATACCACGTAACATCGCAACATATCACACTTTCACACACACTTCACACACACTACTACGATGTTCACACCCCACATTCTCTGTGTTAGGCTTGATAACTAGACTTGCTTCTGTCGTGTGTAAGCTCGTCCCTCTGATGCTCGAATTCGCACCCACACTCTTCGTTCGACCTTTGTCCTGGTTTGGGCTCGAGCTACCATGTGAGAGTGTGATGCGATGCTCGACCACTTGTCAGACATGACATGGTGTTGAATGTCAGACTTTCATTTGGTAGTTGGTCGCTCAGAGGGGACCGGGGGTTTTGGCGGTTCAAGAGAGAGGGGAGTGAGAGATCGAGCGCAGAGCGCGACAAGACGCGACAGGGGCGGCGGTTCGGGTGACGTGCAAGGTTGCCACCTTCCATCACACCGGCAAGATGAACTTGCAGGAGTTGCAAAAGTTGTATGCCAATGCCGAGTCCCGCACGCATGCCCTTCGCAGCAATGGGCACAGCAAAACAGTGAGATCTTGTGCTGAACCGGTGCATCGACCCGTGAAGGTGACTCTTCTTGAGTAGACTGACCGACCCGCTAACCTCTTCTTCACTGATACAGATCCATGGCCTACGCTTCAATGCCGATGGCACCTTGCTGGCCTCAAGCGGCATTGACAAGCTCGTCATTGTGCACGAGCCCGGCACCAACGGGCAGTTTGTACGTCTCGTGATCCCACGTAGACCCACGCGCCTGGTGCCACCCGCAACTCACGTTGAACACCCGTGGCTAGGAGGAAGCAGTCAAACTTGAGGGGCACACCAGTGCCGTAGATCAAGTGGCCTTTCACCCGCAGAACACCAACATCCTGGCCTCTGCCTCGGATGATAAGAGCGTCAAACTGTGGGATGTCCGTGGTACGTTTTGACTGCCCATGCCCACTTCTGTCCTCCTTCAAAGACCCCGTGATCATGACGTTTCTGCCTCACTTCAGCGCCGTGCCGCATTGTTACCCTGTGCAGCCAAGCAGCGTGAAACAACGTCCGTCACCACGGACGACGGCAACATCAACCTCAAATGGCATCCAGACTGCAACCTCCTGGCTGTGGGCAACCGCGTACGTTTGCTCGGTGGCTCGTGACCTGTCACCTCTTTGCCTCTGACGGTCATCAACAGGCGTGTTGGCGCTTGCTTGGACTTGCTGCTGAGCTGCTCAAGACCTCGTGCCCAATACCATGACCCCGTGCCCAATACCATGACCCCGTGCCCAAACCGTGACCCCGTGCCCAATACCGTGACCCCGTGCCTGCTGATGGACGTGGATTGCTTGCAAATTGCTCTGCTCTGGTCCGCAGTCGGATGTCATTACGCTCTTTGATACACGCACCTGGCAAGCCTTGACCACTAAACAGTATGAGATTGAAGTCAACGGCCTGAGTTGGAACAATGATGCCACGGGCTTTTTCCTGACCACGGGTCGTGGTACGTGCCCCGTCTTGACGCACACCCCACCCCAGCAACACAAGTCGTGGGGTCATTGGCCCGCACTCATCCAGCGCCTCCCATCTTGGCGTAGGCTCAGTCCGCGTGCTCCATCCTGAGACCCTTGAGCCTCTCTGTGAGGACCTCACGGCCCACACTTCAAACTGCCTCTCTATTGAATTTTCGCCCTGCGGCCGGTTTGTGGACCGTAACCGGCAACTCTTTATGCATGCCAACCCGACACTCGAAACTGCGAATGGTGTACTGGGACCTTCTCACAGCTTCGCTGGCTCGGCCTGGCCCAAAACTTAGATACTTTGCCACCGGCAGTGCCGATGCAACCGTGAGCCTGTTCGACGCTCATGAGTTGATTTGCTTTCGCACGCACAATTCTCTCGATGGTGTTGCGCGGAGCATTGGTTTCAGCTACGATGGCGACGTCTTTGCAGCTTGCTCGCCTCAAGATCACCTCGACCTGGTACGTCCACGTTTTGGGAGAGCAGCAAGTCGTGGTCCTCCGTCTCTCGCATCTCACGCTTTGCATACGTTGCTTTCAGATCCACACCGAGTCCGACGCCGTTTTGCACTCAATCAAGACTGGTAAGGAGTCAAATGCCGTGACCTGGCACCCCACCAAGCACATGGTCGCCCTTGCGCACTCTGATTCCAGCCTACCCGCCATCAAGATTGTCGGAAGCTGAGCCAAGTCAGCCCGTGTTTCTCACCATGCTAACCGAATTGAACAATGAGACAAAGCGAAGGAATGCAACTTCTTTTTTTTTTTTTTTTTTCTGCACGTGCAAAAATGCGCGTAGGAGATTTACTTTTGATGGCCGGGCAAATGAATTTCAACACACACACACATTCATTGGCATACTCTAACTCATTCTCTGATGGATATGCATTGGCGCGTGAGACAGAATGCACGGGCTCTCTCTAAGCAGGTCTGCAGCTAGATGTCATGCCCGTCCTGGCGCGCCTTGGATTTGCGCACTTGCAGACGCAACATGTCAAAGGTCACAAAGACAGCAACACTAAAGGCAGACACATGAATCCAGAGCGGCACAACACCCTTCCACAGGCTGAGGACCCCTTCATTCCGAATCATCTTGGTCAAGGCGTCAATCGGTCCGCTATAGAGAGGCTTGCCATCGGGGCCGAGCTCATTGCGATAAATGCGCGTCTTGATGCAGTCGAGGGGGTTGCCCAAATAGGCACCAAAGAAGCCGGCACTCAAGGAACCGAGGAAGAAGAGCGGAAGCCCATCTTCCATGCCATAATGCTTGCGCAAGAGATCTTTGGTGAGATCATAGGCCGTAACCTCGGCCATGTTTTGCCAGGCCATACGTGGCACGGCAATCTTGAGGCCGTGGAAGAGACCCGCAACGCCCTCCGTGGCCATGATGTACTTGAAGCAACTGACAGTGCCCTTGAAGGGTACCTTCTGACCCGGTGCAGGCTTGATGGAGGCTTGCAGCTTGGTTTTGACCAGATCAGCCGGGTTGGCAAACACCATGGCCACCGCCCCAGTCGAGGAGGAGGCCAGCATGCGCTGCCACAGCTGGACCTCCTTGAGCTCGCTTGGATCTGTGGGCTTTTCAAAAGTGCCATAGTTCAGATAGCTGATGGTCGGATCATAGAGGCCCAAGCGCATGGTCCCCGCAATGCTGTGCCGCAATAATCCGGATGGCAGACCCGCCATGAGCGCCATCAAGCCCTCATTTCGCCCCACCTTGATCATGGAGTCAAACATGCCAGTGAACTTGACTGCGGGGCCACACGAAAACAAAAGGGTGTGATGAGGCCAGCAACTTGGAACGAAGAGATAAATAGAAGCAACAGACCACGACACAATCAGAAGGCCCAACATGTACTCTTCAATTGATCTTGAATCGGTCACCAAAGCCAGTCAGGGCCAGCGGGACCCACCTTCACCAGGTAGAAGAGCGCGGCTGCCCTGAATTTGGAGCCGCACTTTGGCCACCTCAAAAGGATAGGTCACGGCCTCCGCCACACAGGAGGCAGCCAAGGAGCACAGCAAGTTTTCGCCGCCACTCAGTGGGTACTTGGTCAGATCGACGCCCTGCGCCGTCACCTTGACAGCCATGGTGCTAGCGGTTTGAGTCGCCAACTCTTTGAGGTCAGTGTCTTGACCACTATTGAAGGTGCACAATGCGGTACAGCGCTTGATCCGGGATTGATTAGAGTCGCCAAACTAGCCTCTGCTGTTACCCAGTCCTACAGCACACGGAACAAGCCCAGAATCAACAATGTGACCTCGATGAGATGAGCATCGGCCCTGCAGATACGGGATCTCCACCCTGTAGCCCTTATCAACGACTGGCCAGCCCCCCCTTGCCTCCCTCGGAACACGCCTATCCCCTCGACTCGTCAGCGGTCAATCGTTCACTCTTTGCGCCCCTTGATAACCAAGAGCACAATTCTTTCCCCCCTCCTGCCGCCAAACGCACACGTCGTGAGCTGCACCCGTACCTGCACCCTCGTTCGCCCAAGAACAAGAAAAAGCAGAAGCAGAAAAAAAAAACATCAACATCTTCCATCTCACAGTTTGTGCGCGCTGACATCGCAACGCTACAACAGCACTTTCAAACCTCTGCCATCGAAAAGATGACATTTATTCGAGATGACATTTATTTATTTAAGAGAGCTGGTGTTTATCTTGCTTCGGTTAGTAAGGAAGGAGTTGAAAATTTCATCTAGCTAGCAACGCGTGCGTGAGAGGACAGCCAGCCGGGCAAACACTCGTGCTCGTGTGAAGGAGTGCCATGGAGGCTGGCCGCTCCAGCAGTAGTGGGGCTGGACTAAGCGCTTCCCCTCCGGCGTCAAAGGCGCTGCCCTTCCTCCAAAACAATCGGTGAGCTTTGCACGCGATCTCGCCGCGCCGCGGGTTGTTTGGGTTGTTTAGCAGTGCATGCATGGACAAAGCCTGCGGGCGACGCCCAGCCTCCCCCGCCTCGCTGCTCGTTTCTCCGCTGTCACGTTGAACGAGGCGCGTCCTTATGCGTCGTGTCAACATTGTGCTTCGTCCATTGCACTTAGGTTGCATGGCCGATCAGCTTCGGCCCGCCTACCGCAACCCCGGTCAACCTCTGCTCGCGCCGCCTCGGCACGTCCTGCAGCGTCCGCGCGGCCAGCGACCACAACCGCCAGCCGAAGTGGATTAAACACCCGCTCTCTGTCTGCCACGCTACGACCTGCCGGGAGCACTGTGCCTAAATTTATACATCGGATCCTTGCTCAGCTGGAGGCTGATCTTCGCCGTCAAATCGAACCCCATAGTTTGCCCGTCGCCGTGCGTCTGCAGCCCCACCGCGATGCCTTCCAGCAGTTGTGCGAAGCTACGCCTGCCTACCAGCCCCTCTTGGCTCGACTGCGTACCGAGTACGATGCCGTCATCATGGACTTGGATGCACGCATCCAAGAACTCGTGGCTCTGCGCCAACAGTCGGCTTTGACCGAACAGCGCCACCTGCAAGAAGTCGATCGCCTACGCGAACACGCTCGCAATGAGCATGCATCTGCTACCGTACATGTAGACGACTCGCGCCGACAAATACGCGAGCAGCAACACCGCATCGCTGATCTTGAAGCCCAAGTACAACGCCTCAGTGACGAACTGGTGCTGGTAGGTCTCGCCGGCTTTAGTCCATACCAACCTCGTTCCCGACCCCCTTCCGCACGACTCGCTGCTCGCAGCATCGTCTCATTGTCCTTGAACCCATCCTGTGACTTGCGGTTGACCACGCTCTCTTCAAACCTTTGACGCCAACCAATCAGGAGTCGGAGCGTGGTCGAAATGAAAAGGCTGCCCGCTTGCTGATGGTGAACCGCTTGCACCAATACTCGGCCGAAGGCCTAGTCGCGACACCTTCACACAACCTGAGTGGCTCTGCAAACGCCGCTCTCCATGCCCAAAGCGTCAATCTGCAAGCTTCCCCATTGCCAAGTGGCTTGCACATGGCAGACTCGGTCATCGAGGCTGAGTTGGCCACGCTGCAGCTGAAAAATCAGCAGCTGCAGACGGAACTTGACCGCGTCGTCACCAATTTTCGGGAAGCTGTCACAGTGCGCGATCCGCAAATGCAGCAACGGCTCTTAGAAGCAGAGAATAACCTTGCCGCGGCACGCCTCGAAAATCACGACTTGCACGCACGCGTCGAGTACGATGCTTGCTGGCTCGCCCTTAATCATCTTCCTTGTTATAACCCAACATCCGCCACCCCTGCTTTTCACTGGCACAGTCTCACATTGAAGCTTGAACGTCACCCCTTATCATGTCTGTTTGCTATCTAGAACGCTGTCCAGCACTCACGAACAGATGAAAGCTCGTATGGAGCGAGAAGCCAAACTCTTATTAACGACCCAAGTCGAGTTGGCTCGCGTGCGCCAAAAGCTGGAGGCCGCGGGGTTGGAGGATGTTGGTACGTTTCTTCAAATACGGCTTGGGACTTAACGTGGGCAAAGCGGTGCTCAGACGTGAAAGATTTGACATAAGCTTTCCTCTGCTACACCCGTACCTTCTAGTGATCGAGGAGAATAAGTTACCTCCCACACAAGCCGAATCCGTCCGGCAACTCTTTCGAACGTCGGCTCGCTTGACCGACCTCGAGGTATGATTGCCTTGTCTGGGCCTTGACCCGTGCTTCATGTTCAGTGAGGCTACCTTCCAGGTGAAGCGTCAATCTTTCACTATGACGCCCTTCGTGCTGCTCCTGCTTCCCAACAGTGGACGTTGGAAGAGACACGTCTCTGCTTGCATGACATCGCACAAACACTGCGCCTCGGCTCCACCGACACAATGCTGTTGGAGGACGTCGTCGCCACTTACGCCGATGACAATGCTGAGGCGCTCTTGACCAACGCTGAGACACTTCTTCGCAACATTTATGCTGCGTGCACAGTGTACGCCAGTTTGGTGCCGGCAGCGCACGAGTTTTTGACCTGGATTCGAGGCGGCCCGGAGGCGCCTGTGCTCAGTGAATTGGCTGAGTTGGCGGCGCATGCTGACCACGTGGCACCTCTGTAGGCGCTGTGCGCTCCTTTTTGACTATGTCGCGTCGCAAAAGCTATTCCCTTGCCGTGCCACCATGAATGTAAAACTGATTCAACTGAATTGAGCGCTCTGAGAGCAGCTCGAGCGATGGCATCAAACTCTGACGCGTGTGGGCCCACAACTAAGTCTTTATCAAGTTAAAAACTCAATGGGGCAAGATGACTAACAAAATGAAAAAAATTTGTAGTGGAAGAAGAGAAAAGAAGAACAGAGTACTCTCAAGCCTAATTAACGGGTAAAAAGAACAAAGGCGATGGTGTTGCTGTATGACTCATGACAGCAGAGCCACCATATCGATGATGTGTTGCTTGCCTCCGGGCGCTCAGCGCCCGTGGTGCACAAAAGAAGAGGGAGAAAAAAAACAGAACATTGTACAGAAGCTGCCAAGTGGATACTTGAGTACCAAACCAGAGTCGATAGGAGAACCGTCACTGGGTTTACGAAGGCTGTTGCGCAACATCAATGCCAACAGGCCCCCCGCTGGCGACGGCGAACAGACGAAGAACTCCCGAAGGTAGATCCATGACCACAAAATCAGTGCCATCGTCTGATGCTCGCGTGATGGTGAGAGTACCTTCTTCCGGAACCAAAGTCAGAATGAGCTCGTCGCCTTCCTCAAAGTTGAAGGCGGCGCCCTCGAGAAGATTGCCGTGAACCGCACCCACAGAAGAGATGGCAGCCACAAAGGGTGAAGACAAGATGGACGTGGCCGTGTTGGTAGTGGCCGTACAGCCAATGGCCACCCAGTTGGCATCGTCAAGCTCCGACACATTAACAACCAAGGTGCAGGGCATGCCCACAGGTACAGAAAAAGCATGTGCCATTCGCTCAAGGCGGTTGGATGTGTGCGGCAAAAAGATGCGCATGTCATTCAGCACGCCAAAGGGCGCCTCGGATAGTGATGCATCCCTGTAAACAAACAAGGTCCCAATCGAGACACAGAACAGTGCAACGGTAAGTAAGCTTGGGACAGAAGAAAGAGCGAGAGCAGGATGAGCTTTCAACGGTTGCACAGGCCCACGCACCAGGACAAAGGTTGCAACGGGGTTGTGGGTGGCTCTTGCGTTCGATGCGAGATGTGGCGATGATTGTGGGGGTTGGAATGGGAAGCAATGGCATCCAGGATGCGCGACGACTCGATGAGGCCATCCGCGCGGACGACGGACAAAAGGCTGTCCAGGTCGATAAGATTGAGGCGCAGGCAGGCCAAAGGCTCGGCCACAAGCTCCTCAATGCTGAGATCGCAACGGAAAGACATTTGCTTCGCCCACGCCACAACAGTACGATAGAGCTCAAGTTCACTCATGCCTTGGATTGCATCAAGCTGCATGATGATGGCTAGTTCCTCGGGGCGAACATCGGCCTGGACAAGGCGCGAGGGCTGAAGCAGCTCGCGCGCGTGACTGCCGACGTGCTGAAGAGCTTGTTCGGCCAAGAAAAGGTTCTCCTCGCGCAGACTACGCACCAGCACGTCGAGGGCGGATTCGGCATCGATATTTTGTGTCAAAATGCTGTTGCACAAAACTTCGAGGTGGGCAAGACCATAAGTCTCGGCCATGAGAAGGACGGCGCGAACGGTGGTGCCTTGAAGCCGAAGTTCACCCGTGTGGCACCACGTAATGACAGCGGCGAAGGCATTCGCATCGACGGAAGGCAGCGCCACGGTGACTTGAGGAATATCCCGGCTAGCAGCGAAATAAGGCTTGAACATGGCCTCAAACGTGGAACTATGCATGGCCAAGATGGCAGACAAGGCAAAAATGGATTCCTGTTGGGGGCCAACCAGGAAGCGAATGTTGCAAAGATCATGGCGCTGCTCAAGCATATCCAGCATTGTGCGAGCAAGGACGTGAGGTGAATGGTGACTTTCCACGCCGCCCTTATTGGCACGACTTGTCATGGTGGAATAGTTGGAGGTGGCTGGCGCGACAAGAAGATTGTGGGTATCAAGGGGACGGCCCATTCCACGGACAGCCGGGGGGGAGGCCCGCGAGCCGTGTGCGTTGACGTGTGTGACCATGCCGTCGGATGTGTGGCTGTGGGGACCCACGAGGTCAGCGGGCGAGGTGACGGCGGAGCGCCGACGGGCGAGAGCTGCCAGGACGCGCTTGCGGGAGCGCGAGCGCGGCCGTGCATCCGAGTTGGATCGAACGGACATGGCTCGGTCGGCAAACGGGGATGGTGCGTTGGGCGTTGGGAGTGAGCGGTGGTCAAGCGTGCGAAAAGCCGTGGGTGTGGGCGAGCCTTTGCGAGGCCCATTGCGCCCGCTTTGGGCGGGGCTGTTGGGATCTGGCCGTAGGGGGACACCTGCTGCACTCTTTTGCATACGGGAGATGGCATCGGCGGCTTGCATGAGTTGGCTGTGCAACACGTACTCGCCCTCTCGAAACTTGATGGGGGCACTCTGTGGCGCGGCAGCATGGGCGTCTGCGGGTCGAGGACTGGCGGGCATCATTTGTTGGGCCGATGGAAGGGAACCCATTGAGCCGACGTCCCGGCGTGGAAGGAGGCTAGCAGACGCGGACGCCAATTCGGTGGTGGTGGCGGGCATAGCTACCGGCTTGGTAGGACCTGACTCGGAGGCGGGTCGAGGTGCAGCCTTTTCTTGCAACTGGTCCACAGAGACGTAAGAATTCTGGACGGTAGCGGCTTTGGTGGCATGTGAAGCGATCGTGGAGGTGGTGGTGACGTCGGTGATCGGCGAGGTGACGGTCGAGGCACGGGGGGAAGCTTGCTTCTGGTGTTGGTGATTTGAGTCAAAGAGAGCGGCAAAGAGACCTTGAGCCCCCTGGTGTTCGTTGACTTGAAAGGATGTGCCAGCAAGAGCCTTGCGCAGCACATCCCATTCAATGTCTTGGGGCGGGGTGGGGAGATGTGGGGAGGCGGTGGCGGTGGCGGTGGCGGCCATGTCTGTGGGTGCCGATGTGGAGATTGGCTTGCCGGGTGTGTCGTGAGGAGGGGGTACGGAAGCAGCAGCGGTGTCACTGGCTGCCGTGGTACTGGCTCGGGTGCTTTTCAACTGAGCAAGATCGCCCGCCGACGCCGGACGATCAAAAAGGGGGTGGCGCGTGATGATGGGCTGTGGTGGCGAGAGTGTTGCAATGCCGCTGCTCAAGAGGGAAGGTGAGCCGCGAGTGCCGGCCGTGGAGTGAGCAGAGGCACGATGGCCGTGTGGGCGGGTGGGATGTGCGGATGGACTGGCCGGGCCATTGGCCAAGCCGGAGCCAAAAGAAGGGGAGCCAGCGGCGGAAGGGGTTTGTGGTCGCGAATGACGGCGAGGCCTGCGACTGCCAATGCCAAGAACACCTTCGAGTTCGGAATCTGTTTCAGGTTCGGTGTGTTCGTCGGGACTGTCCGCGGCGGTGGTGGCGGTCGGGCGTCGAACGAGGTGGGTCGAGGGCGCCGAGGGCGCGCCGACCGAGCCCGCGGGCAAAGAAGGACAAGCAGCAGACGGGCGGTCACTCGTGCTTTGCACGCTCGTCCGGAGGTGGCTCTGCGTGTGACGAGGGCTGGGAATCTGGTAATAATGCGACTGGACCCGGCTTGAACCCGGCACGGTGGCGGTGAGGGAAGGAGAAGAGGCAAAGGGGGAGGGCGCCACCAGACTAGATGGCGATTGCTGCTGGTGCAGGGTGCGGTGGTCGGGTTGGGAGCCTGTGGAAGCTGATGAGGCGGAAACAGAAGCGAGGGCAGCGGCTTGAATGGTTTGGTGATGCGGCAAGGCCGAAGTGAGGTGCGCGTTCTCTGGGGAATTGGCCGCAACAACAACAACGGTGGAACTGGTGTGCAAAGGCTCGAGGTCGTCTTGTTGTCCTCGCTTCGTCGGAACCTCGTCTGTCGTAGGTGGCACGGTGTGGGAAGCCAGTGCGGGCGAATTGGCCCTGGTTTGTGGCGATGGGCTTGAAACGTTGGGGGTTTCTTTGGAATCGTCGGGAGAATGGGGATGATTGCTAGATGTGGTTCTGGTTCTGGTGCCGGGGCTGGTCTTGGTCTTGGTCTTGATGCTGGTGGTGCTCTTGGTGCGCCACGGCATGTGGTCGGTAATGGTGTGGGGTTGGGTCCTGGAGACGGGAGAGATGCGCGGGGGCGAGGGCAGGGGCGAGCTGGGGCTCAGGTCTGGCGCATGATGATGCTCCTTGTGGTGGAGGGAGATAACGTCCTCCTCGCTGTCGGTGCCCTCGTCGCTCTTGTGGTCGCTCTTGTCGTCGTCGCTGTTGTCGCTGCTGTTGTCGCTGTCACAGGGCTCAAGGGTTTTGGTTGGCGTGGATTCTGGTGAATTTATTTGTTGAGCAGGTGTCGCTGTTGGTGCTGGTGCAGGAGCAGGTGCTGATACTGGTGCTGGTGTTGGTGCAGCAGGGTCCACTCGCGGTATTGATGAAGGCGGTGCAGGCTGCATGACGAAGGAGTGCAAGAGGCAGAGAGAGCAAGGGAAGAAAAGCAAAGGGGATGTTCTGGGGAGGGGAGGTGGGGGTTTCGTCTGTGTGTCTGGCGGTAGGGGAAGGGTGATGTTTAGGTTTGGCCTGAGTTCCCGGGAACTGGGTAGTACAGAATCTTCCATGCGGCTTTACACAACAACACAGTACCCACGATCTGTTTGTCTGACAACGGACCAAATCTTCATTCTTTCTTTTGGTTGCTTCACCCTCCCACCAAAAGGCCTCCTCGACGTCAAGGGCATGTGGACGCTTCGAAATTTTAGGGACATGCCCTCGGGATGCTGGCTGATTCTCGGGAAGTTGCAGTGACGAAGAACAAAGAATTCTTCTGATTCCAAGTCCTGCGAACATCTCGCGAAAACAGTGAGAGAGTCGGGCCATTCTTGTCATCCAGACGCGAACTCAGTGAGATCACTGCTTTCGCGCTCATTTGGCTCTGTCGCTTCTGCCGTCTTCTCGCAACACGCCAACTGACGACGCCGCGACTGGCTTCGACCTCGGCTCGGCAGGACTTGCTCGCTGTTTGGCGGCCTGGCTACCTGCCCTTTCAACCCCTCACTCAGTACTCCAGCTTGACTGTTCAATTCTATTCGTGGACACAGCACCATGGCAGCGGCAACCGTGGACGCAAGTGAGCTGGGAGAGGATGACCTCGTCTTCGAGCCCACCATCCAGAATCTCATCGACCAGGAAACACTCAAGTACATCTTTGTCGGTGGCAAGGGCGGCGTCGGCAAATCAACGTGCAGCTCTTGCATTGCCATCCGTCTAGCCGAGGCCGGCCGACGCGTGCTCCTCATCTCCACCGACCCCGCGCACAACCTCAGCGACGCCTTTAACCAAAAGTTTGGCCCACGGCCCACCAAGGTCGACGGTCTCGATCGCCTCAGCTGCATGGTCCGTTTGTTGCAAGCCATCCCTGCCCCCTTGCTGCCATGACGCGTCCTGCCACTGCCCACTTGCTCATTCACCTTTGACTTGACTGATATCAACGCCATGCCTCCCCCTGGCAAGTAGGAGGTGGACCCCGTGGTCGGCTTTGAAGACCAGCTGGCCCAGCTAGAAGGTGCGCCGGCTCGCTCTCTCCATCCATGCCCGCACACACGCTGGCTTGCCCGCACACACGCTGGCTTGCCCGAAATGAAATGTGCTCCCAGCTCAGCCAGGCATGGTTGCTTGTGCTGCAGAACAAAATGCGGAACTTGCCTCCTTCCTCAAGGGTTTTGGCTTCTCCCTGCCCGGCATTGACGAAGCTACCAGTTTTTCCCAAATCATGAAGTACATTCCTTGCTGATTTGACCCGTGCGCAAAAGGCTGCGTGTTGCTTGAATGACGTCTTGGATTTTATTTCTGTTGCTATTTTCGTGTCTTTTTTTTTTTTTTTTTTTGGAACTCATGCCCACTGCCTACCTCTAGGCTGGTCAAATCGCTTGATTTCGATGTCACCGTCTTCGACACGGCTCCCACCGGACACACCCTGTACGTCAACTCATGCAACTCACATGCACGCACGCACGCACGCACGCACGCGCCCTCGTGCATACCCAACGTGCTCGGTCCACATGCCCACCCTCACCCTCACCCCTACGCACACACTCCTTGTAACAACCAACCCCATTTTTAGGCGTTTGCTTCAAATGCCCGACTCGCTCAACAAAGCCATCGATAAGATCATCGGTCTCGACTCCTCCATGGGTGGCATGCTCTCCCAGGTATAAGCGCTGTCACCAAGTTGACCACGCTCGCTGCCACGGTCACTTTCAGCTTTTATTCCACCTCACATTTGCTGTCGCTTGTAGATGGGCTCTATGATGAACGTCGGCTCAGTTCTTGAAAAACTGCAGAGTGCCAAGGCCTCCATTGAAGAAGTTACACGCATCTTCAAAAATCCCGTACGTGCTGCCAACCCTCGCCCCATTTTCACCCGCGTCCTTTCCTGGCCCTAACCTTGCAACCATGATGACCTGCCAGGAGCAAACTACCTTTGTCTGCGTCTGTAAA